TTGATAGTCTAGCTCGGTATGCAACTTCGTAGGTACCTTCGATACAGAGAAATTCAGTATGATACTTGAAATTTTCAATGCAAAATGTTCTATTGATGACAATGGAGAAAGGGGACCTTTTGTAGAAAGTAAAAAATTGACACTGACTAGACGTCCATTGTATTCTCATCTCCCTCATTGAATTGATTAGGGCGTTCTCGACTTAAGAGTTCCTTGCACGCTTCTAACACTGTTTATATTGTCATTACCGCAAAGATACAAAGCCTTAAAAAGCTATAATTTTACATTAAACAAAACATATTATCAAGCAAACACAATCCCATTTTCCAAAAGGCTAAACGTCCGTTCGTTTTCATTTCACGAATGTCTAAACTCGAATAGAATAAACGGATAACGTATTTATACGCTGGGAATTCATTAAGCCGAGCGAAATCTGATGTGGCTCGGTGTCGCGCGGAGTGGGCTATTATCCCATCGTTGGACGTGGATGGGTGCTCGGCAAACACTCGGCACTGTCACCCCCACTTGTCTGCGAGTATTAGAACTGCCATAGCAGGAGACAGGGTATTATGGTGCGCTCCCTGATAGCGCCGGGGCTTGCGGCCCGACCTAAAATATTAAAAAGTTAGTCGTTCTTTGTTTTCATCGAATGGTCGGCAAACATTTTGACTCACTGCGTATCCATCCAATTGATTCCAATAACAATGGCGCCGTATTTTTTCAATATTTCATCCAATTTGTCATGATGTTAACTTAGTACTATTTTTGTATGATGAATCTGCAATTTAAACAATAAACTCTTCGTAAAGTAAATAGCCGACTCCGGTTTTCAATTGCCGCATTTTTCACTTAAATTTTTTTACTATTTTAATTTGCTAAGAGTTAGAAATGTTTTCATAAAACCAAAGAACGTTTTCCATATCGTAGCTAAGTTTTCGTGTATTTTTAAGTTAAAATCCGCGTTTTTATCTCCTTTGCAAATACTTTTTCATTTGCTAAAACGCTGTACTTTTTTAGTTAATATTTGTGTATTCGTGAACACTTTTAACCTCATCAGTTTTTCCAACTTTTTATAGAAATGTAGGTGTTTGCTTTTAGTTTTGAGTGGTTACGATATCTGCAAGTCAATATTTGAATCTACTACTACTAAAGTCTAGATTGTCTGGAATTTTTTGGCAAGAGAAGTGAATTTTCGAGTTCATCCAAGATTGTTTTATTAGTATAATGTGATGTATTAGTATTAGCTGTAGTCTGTAGGATACTGCCAGTTATAATTTTCGATATTCAATATTTCAATTCTCTTTTTAGGTAGATTGATATTTTTGTTTTACGTGTATCATATTGTTACATGTGACGCAGGTTGACCGAATTCCATTCCATTTTTTGTCGCTGGACTTTCTTTATCAGTTGCCTAAAATACCTGAAAACAACCTTATTTTTGGACCAACACTCAATAAAAACAACTTTTTGTCTACGTCACTGTCTGTTATTGTTACTCGATACATCAATTAACCACTTTGCAATTCCTAACTTTATTTTTGGATTCTCAACTTAAGCCTTACGTGTATAAGTAGTGCAACCACTCTGTTCAGTATCCATAATACCCATCAGGGTGCCTCCTTCGCGGAGACGAGGGTGGCTCAGACAGGCTCCCGCGTTTAAATGAACAGTGATTTCATACCTCACCTCACCCGTTTCTGTCATTCAAAGTTCGCAAACTATTTGTGGGTGCAGGATACCATGAATTTAAACGAGCAAATGTGTCAGCCGGAACATAGTCGAGTCATTACGTTACTTGTAACTGCCGCGATACTTTGTACAAGTTCCCTCTCTTCGCTCAAACGGTTCACAAAGGAAATGATCACACAAAACGCGAAGATCCCTCCTTGACATTCTACGACAATATCCCTTTACTTCTTTTTCATTTAAAACAGTTAGTACGTGTACATTTTTCATTGAAGCTTCGAGCTCATCAATATTAATGGATTCTTAGAAGGATTAATAGTATTGAAACCCGCAGTTCAATCTGAATAATTGCAGATGGCACTACAGCACTCCCGACTACCCTCGCTTCGGAGATATGTTTGTTCCCTCCGTGCGAAATATATCCAACCATTTGTTTTAGAAGTGAACTCGATATTCAACGAGCTTGCGGTACAAAGTCGTCAACGAAATATAAAAGAGAAATCAACAAACGGAACAGATATAAAGTTTGAAAATTTTGTTTGTTTCGTCCCTTTTTCATATGTTTCATGTTTATTTCTTTTGTCGCTAATAAAGTGGTTTACGTAAGTTTCTTTATTTAATAAACGAGTGCGGGCTTCGTATAAAATATCCTTACATCGGTATCTCAGTGCGTATGCTCGCAGTAAAGCAAAGTTTTACCCTACTTTGCATTCACAGGCGGCAGGGTGAAAGTGTTTTTCATTGTCCTACAGAGCAAGCCGTCGCGTCTGACAGACGGAGGTTCTTTTTGTTACCACTGTAACGCTCTCCCTCGACACACGTATTCACTGAACACCTATAGATTTGCCCTTTTGTGGGAAAACTATTTCACTTAATTGTGGAATGTGGTGAAACATTTCTCTCCTGCTGGGAGATTTCGAATACATTTATTTGTAAATGTAGGCTAAAGAGCGGGCACACGAAGAAACGCATTCAATTTTAAGTTATGTTCGAAACGAGACCTACTTCCGAGCATACTTTGGAGCCAACGCTTACAGTTAGTAGTAACAGATGCAGATAATTTCAACACATAAAGATGTAACGGTGTTCGAGCAATATAAAATATTTCAACGTAATTTAAATGGCTACAAACTCAAATGTATTTCTATTTATTTTACCGTCTTCTCTAGAAATATTGGAATAATAAAATTACAAGTTGAAATGGAATATAAAATGAAATTGCTTTTCAATTTTGAAACAACAGAAAGGCCCGAGTGTACCGCAATGGAAGTAACTTCGGCCAAAAATGTGATCGGTTACGGTTAATAAAAAGTTGTTAGGTAGCGGAGCTCTATTTGTATTCAGAGGAGCCGAGCTTGGGAAGGGTTTCCGAATTGCGATGGACGGCGACGCTATCATTGTCTTTTGAATTTTTGCCAACCTTTAAAACTCCACGACTTATAATTCAACTCACGTGACGAGCGCTAATGAAAGACTTACTTAAAAGTAAGTGCGCGGGAGAATTAAAAACTTCCAAATACAATTCACTCTTTAAACGAAGTTCATTTTAACGTCGGTAAAGTGGAAAACTTCGACAGTTTTCATTTTTTTTATCAAGAAGTAACGTAAAGTTTTACTTCGCTTATAACGAGATACGGCGGTTAAAAGGATTCCGGCGGGCGATTTAATATTTTTAAACACTTCGAGCCGGTAATAGGGGTTAATTCTAGCTGAGCGTATGGCGAGTGGAGTGAGCTATTCCGTGAGGAAGGGCTCGCATTTTTCATATTTTCATTTAGTCGAGTCGTTAGATAAATATTAGTAATTTGTGCGGCACGGGCTGTGGCGTAAAGCTTATCTGCGCAGCAATTAAGAAAAACCTCGGAGGCTGTTTTTTTCAGCGGCTACCGAGTGCCGTCGGCTGATTGCTAATTCCGCGACAAAGAACGCTATTACGTGGCCACAGCCGAGCAACAAATGAAAATATTTCCAAGTCACATTCAACTACAAAATGTACCGGAATAGATTTCGCTACAAATTGTTTTCTGGGAAAATACTTTCTTCAAGCGAATATTTTTTTTTGTTCTATTTACGGAAAATCTCGGTAATGTTGTTTTAATTAGCAAATATTTCGTAATACACATTGTTTTTCTATCCAAATTAAATTGAAATTATGTACGAAAATAACATGTAAAAGTTTATGTTTCTCTAATGAAATTCAATACTATAACAGAAATATGGAAGTAAAGGTTTGACAAAATGAGCATCTCATCTGCAACATGGATCCGTATCTTAAATAAAGAACAAGTTCGACTTAAAACTTTGTGAATATAATGGCGAGCACAACTAGGGTATCGTAGCCCGTAGCGATGCGCCGCGTCGTAGCCGTGCTACGGTGCTACAGCGTAGCGGGGCCGCGAGTCAGCCGAACAACTTAAATTGCCTGAAAACATAAGTTCCTCGTCAGCCGCAAAATAAACGCTGGGGTGAAATTTATTTGCTGCATTCACAAAACGCGAATAACAATGCGGAGGAGTCACAATAACTTCAATTTGATTTCACTTGCCTTTTCTCAAGCAAACAAACATCTTGTAAACATGTTTGTCTCTGGCCGCACAATATATATTTCCATGGCTTCATCCGCTTGGATTTCGCTGTTATTTATGTTACGTTGAAACAGTTGTGTAATCCGAACGTAAATTACGATACGTTTATGCGAAACCGGTAGTTTTATTGAATTTTAATCAGTGGACGGATTAAATTGCGATCATCGCTTTGTGTCGTGTTATTGTTGTAAATAGTGAAATAAATTTATAAAAATATTAAGTGCAAAGAGAAAGCATTGATAAAATAAATAAAATAATTCTAATAAAGGATCTACACCTACGCACTGAGAGTATAGAAACGGGAGCGAGTCCTTTTGTTATTTTATCTGATTTCTAGACTTACTTTGATAATAATGAATTATTAAAACCAGTTTATCTTTAGAAATAGAATATCAACATAATGCCGTTTTATTTTTGTTTTGAACTCATTCTAAAATATTATTAAAGGTACCAACCTAGATCTTGACAAAAACAATACTTATTACGCGCTACTATTTCTTTAGAGACAACACAATACATCAACTAACGTACATATATTACAAGTAAAGACCATTCAATGTTAAACAAGATTTACTTCAAGTTACGGGTATTAAGAGGAAACATAGCGGTCGGCAACTCCGAGCAAATTACACGAGAACCAATCAGTGAAGACCTCTCTAATTAGTATGTGTGGTCTATGACACATCTGCAGGACTTGATTACTATTCATTTAATTATCTTTTAGAGCAGATTTATGTAAATGACAAGGTAGCTCGACTAGTTTCAAGCCACGTGTGGGAGAGCCAAACTTCGGCACGAATGGGTCGGCTCGACCGGAGTGATACCACAGCCTCACAGAATACCGGCGTGAAACAACGACAGCGTTGTGTTTCGCCGAGTGAGTTACGTCGCAGCCACGACACAGGAAATAATCCCAGTGTGGCGTAACGCTTTATATTTTAAAAAAGCCGGCATTTTTATGTGGAAACGTCATTCTTCCATATTTAAAATTCATCTTGACTCACAAATACAATGTCAATTATCTATTATAATTAAAATGGTTCAACTGCTTTTATTAAATATTCAGTTGATGTACTCGGATAGTTAGCTTAATGATCGTATCAATGGACTATTAATAATTTATTCATGTTAATGTTTTGGTTTAGATATCAGACGGGGACAATAGAGTATATTACGAAGTGACATATACTTCAGGCAACTAACTTAATTAGTCATTCATTCAATGGCCTGAATCACTAGCTGGTTACTTGAATGACTGAATTTCACTTTTAAGCTATAAATTAGTTGAAGACTGAAGGGTTTTAATGATAACAGACTTGCTAACAGAATGGTTGGTTGGGTTATGTGAGAACTGCGACCCACACAGAACTCTTCATAATTATTATCATCACAGATAAACAGTTACCAAAATTGTACTGTAACAGAAAATTTGTCATACTAGCATGATATGTCTTGCAATTGAACGCCAGGTTTCAGTTTGGCTCTCTGTGATGATATAAAAGATTTTGCTTTGTATAACAATATATCAAAATTGGACACAGCAACACGCATACTCATAAACTTTAAATATATCTCAGATTGTTTTGAGTTCAGTTCATATTTAGTTCTGATCCAAATGTTTAACTAAATATTTGTCAAGAATCAAGTATAAGATCGATAGGTAAAAAATTTAAAAATGTTTTCTTAAAACTGATAGCTATTTGAACAGATTAGCGCCTTCATATAAAAATACAACTACTTTCAAACTTATAATATTGCTATATAGAATCATTTTCCTTTTCACAAGCTGAAGAAAGAAAGCGATTATCATAATATCCATTTTAAAATCTAACTGCTTTTAAAATGGTCGGCTAGTTTTATGATGCTTGAGTCTTATACATTTTCTATTTTCTTGTCGCACTTTTCTTAAAGGAATTTCTGAGTTAGAGGCTGGCAATGAGAAGTCTCCTTTTCCTAACAGAAAGCTAAACTTCAGTGATATTTAAAGTTTCCATTAGAACACTGATCAATGATTTATGTTATAAATATAATAGAAAGTTTTTAAATCTTTAAATGAGCAATAACTATAATAAATATAAAATAAACAATTGTATGCAAATATGCTTATAGTCGAAATCTCAAAAACGGCTTCATCGATTTTTATAAAATTTTGTTTCCGGATTCGATATATCGTTCTAGTTAAAATTAAAATTTCAAAAAATGTAAAAAAATACAGCTCTTTTATTCAGTAACTGAAATAAAAATAAAAAACGGCACTTTTTGACTACGTCAATTTTCATTCTATCACAAATTGCAAAGGACATTTACGAGTTCCAATAAGCTTTGTAACGATTCGGTAACACAAACACATAAAAAGGATGTATACTAGGAACTACCTTTAAGAAAGAAGGAAAAAAGGTTTAAATACCAGGAAATTATAAAAAAAGCTATGTCCTTACAATCTTCTTTGGGTCATTTCCAATCTATTTTCATAGGTAACTTAAATAATCTTATATCCCACAATAACCGTTTAAGAAAGGGCCAGGCAAAACAATGTCAAATTTTCCCGTAATTTAAAAATAGATCTTAGTGGGACGAGTTCGCCCTCCATTTACATTCAGGAAGGATGGTGGGCCGGGAGCGACTAAATCGAATTCCTATCGTTTCTCTTACACGGAAGCTGGGTCAGAGGACTGGTCGACTCTACTTATCGGGCACCGTAACCTTGTTGAGACATGGCTTATTCATTTTATATTACTTTCGTTTCCTTAATTTTATCCCCTATTTACTATGAAAATGGAATATTACGTTTATAATTTTGTTTTCTTGGAACCAATCAGCTTATAGATAATACTAGCTGTACCCCGTTTGGATAGTTTATAGCCTATGTTCGCCGGGGATAGCTAGTAGCTTCCTAGCAATTAAAGAATTATTCGAATCGGTCATGTAGTTTTTGAGCTTAACCAATTCATACGAATAAACAATATTACTAGTGTAGTAATAAAAGGTGTTTTTATAATAAAGATATATAGAATTTAACCATTTTCTGCAGAACTGTAGTTCCATGGAGCGTGCTTATATATATTTTCTATGTGTTTTGAAATAGTTTTGCGTGCTGCAAGGGTGTTCAAGAAAATAAAGTGTCCGTCGTAGTGTTTTATATAACATGCTATCACAGATTCTCTGCACCTGAGTTGTCTTACAAATAATTGTAATCCTACCTAAAGAGATGTGCTTTTGTTTCGCCTGTTTTTTTCATACGTGATAAATTACTTTTATTTTAGTTTTAACATTTATTTCTATAAATGATTTTATTTTCTTTCTGTTTAATTTTAAAAATTACGCAATTACTTATAAGAAAAAGAAAATTCCATTTATTGTATAAACAGATTGTTGCATAGCATTATCTTAGCACTCCACTATCTGTTACCCACCGCACGACATTTAATTCCAAGAGTCACGAGACTCGCGACTCTCGCAGCAATGTGTTTCTGCTCACTGAACTACCAACATTACGGTAATGGCATTAGTAATCAATGTAATGTGTGTTACGACCGTGTTAAGTTTATGAATTCCCACACTACCAACATACAAACAATATGTGTGGGAGAGCCTTCGAGAAGCTTCGGCACGAATGGATCGACTCAACCGGAGTCATACCACTGCCGTACAGAAAATCGGCGTGAAACAACCACAGCGTTATGTTTCGTCGTGTGAGTAAGGTTAGTGAAGGCCCTTTGCCTTCCCCCATCGCTACCCAATCTCAAAATCTCCAAAACCCTAATCACAAAAAGTCCGGCAACGCACTAGTAACTTCTCTGGTGTTGCGGGTGTCCATAGACGACGCCGATTGCTTCGAATTAGGTAACCCGTCTGCTCGTTTGCGCATCTATCACATAAAAAATGGCACACAATAAATACCAATCTACAGGGGTAGCCAAACAAACATTTGGAAGCGCCGTCTGTTTTCAAAACCATGAATTTTAATGTTATTTCCAATATCGGCATAGATTCGAACATTCTCTGTCTACCAATAGATAGATGTACCGTATATTCGTGCATAGTAAATTCTCTGATTATTTGCAGCAATTGAGTATTCATAAAGATCATTTCAATACGAATTCAATATTTTGCCGACGAGTTTGAGCACTTTGTTCGTCGTTGCCAAATATTTTGCTGGCATCTGGGTTTTATCTGTGCTATGTATTACAATTTTCCTTTAGTTATATTTATCTAAAAAATTCTTACGAAGTTCTGTTTTCTTTTCGAGAAGTGAATGCTTATTTAGTTAGAGAAACGAGGCGTAACAACATTTGCTCAACTCGATTTAGGAACGTTGAACGTCTGAAGAATGTAATGAAAATATTATATTCACTATGTCGCTGTTCGTAGCTTATTCGTGCCATACATAGGTCCATACAATACGCACGCTAGTAAAATATATTATGTTCTTAAATCATAATGCACAGAAGTAATAATGTCTACAGATTTTATCAATTAAAATTACTTCGAATAAAATTATCATACTCCGAGTGGTCGAACCTTTAACGAAACAAAATTTTGAAATACACAAAACATTAATCCTATTAAAAGGATTTTGTAGGTGCTTCCGTTACGGTCCTTTGTTTAATATGTTTTCGTTAGAACAATATTTATGCGGTCAATATAAATTTTGTATATTTTTATAAATACATATCGGCGAATACTTTGATCAATTGATTGTATTCCTTAACCTGTAGTACATTAGTAACCTGGTATTTACTACATGGTATCCTAATAAATTTTCCACGAATATTATCGACTTCCCTTCTACTCGAACAGTGACGTCGTGTCGTACGAAGTGACATACGGATTGGTGTTAAGTATCGATTTTCCAGAAACCGCTAGAAGAAATAAAAAAGCCGGGTAAGCACGTACGGCGTACATAATAAAATGGTATAATGTGTTTTGCCGTGGGAGCGATGATAGCACTAGCAGCTGGCACGGTTTTTCGTGGACTCGGAGCTAGTTCGATGTACGTGTAGGTACCTACTCTCGTATAAGTTTACCATTTCCATGTTCACTACTGATCAAATTCACAAGTGGCTATTATAGTACATTTTTACAAGAAGTAAAGTTTGTTAATTGCCAAGTCTTGGTTCGGTCAAGGAACTATTGGTTCCTATTCAGACAAATACAAACCATTCGTTCCTTTTTTTGTTTTACTTTTTATATGCAGTCGCAAACGAACAAATCCTTGTATCTTAAGTGCAAGTGTATAAACATATAGGGTATTAAATCACCCTAAAATATTTAATTAAATTACAAAAACTTCACAAAATATCTTAGGTACATATGTAGATGCAAATACAGACAAAGTTTTCGTCAGTCCGAAAATTCCTATCCCATTTATAACTGAAGTGAATGAATGGTAGACGAATGTTATCGAATGAATGAACGAATGGTATCGAATGAATTTAGCATACTTTGTTGAGGGCGACGTATCCATGCGGAATACGGGTCCGAGTCACAAAGGGTCGGATAAATCACATTACAGACACGCGTGAATTGTAAATTGGACATTAGTTGATACACCTCCTGTGTGCAACGGGCTTTATAAACGCCATGACGGGTCCAAGCGGAAAAATGGTGGCGGTGCATTTACATATCATTTGCGCTGCGTGCTGCGGTTTGATAGGGATGACTAAAAAAAGGTTTGTTCATCAGATAGGATAAGAAGAATTATCAGATACCTAGGTACTACTTGATGAAATATTAAGGCAATATTCAACCAGTATATTTCATACTTACCAGCAAACCTAAATAATATACAAAGTATATCATATCGTATAAACTGAGAAAAGTTCTAGTAGTTTTGAAGAGGAAGTCTCTATGTGACTTAAAACTAACGTTATGATTTGAAACGTGTATGTATATAATTAGTATGTGGTTTCTAAAGCAGTGATCTCGTAACTTTATTAGGAAATATTATTTTTAATAACGAACATTCAAATACATAATCAGTCACCTAATATATCCTAATTTTATTAGTTTTGAGGATTAATAATTGAAGCTAAACTGGATCCAATTAATTTAGGGTCATCATTATTCAAGCTTGACTCAGCCCAACTTCCTGGTGCACATTCCTTCGCTTTTTAATTTAAAAATTCTCATTAATAAAGCGTGTTTCGGTGTCCAAAATATTAGGAAAAATATTGGAGAGAACTTCGGTATTAGAAAAAATAAACGATGTATATTAGATAAAACGTAACTTTTTAAATAAGAAAACAGTTTTGTTCAAAGTATCTTGTTATCGCATTTTAGGTTTAAAAAACTTCATTGGTTATGTCCTCTAAGTTCTTATTTCTATTTTATGTATTTTATATTCTCGACATTACAAGTGCTTCAGTTCTTGACAATACATTGTATAGCTATTGTAGTCTGTGGTGACTCAACATACCAACAAAACAAGATATCGAATAAACTATTCCACTATATGCGAAATTCACTATTTCAAAGAAACGAGTTCAAGGCTAATCTGTAAAGTATCTTAGCGCCACTTAATGAATTTTATAAAACAAATTTGGCTTTTTTATTTCGACCAAAAATTCAGAAAGTAAATACGGCAATAATTCAAAACTTTATGGGCCACATTGTTTGAAATAACCCCAATATTCGGGCAGCACAGTTGATGGAAACATTCGCTTTATAAATCTTGTTTCCCGAGCTGTTATTTTCCGTGCAATCAGACCAATACCGATCTGTAATTGGCGCCCAACGGGGACCTAACGAGACTGATTGTCCGCTGATGTAGCAAATACCGCCACCCTACTTTCATGTTTATCTTTTTAAGCGGTTATGATGCTGCGAATACACAACAGGGGTGCAATTTCAACGTTGGGTTTGATACGCTTTCTAATTAATATGTCTATTTTATTTATGAGCTTGTTAAACATTTCCGAAATTAATGCTTTTCTGGAATTTTCTGTCTATAAACAAACCGGTTAGTATTTATTTATTAGACCATAATAATGGAATTAAGTTTAAGTTTAGGTTATTAGGTTTTGAGTACACCGTCTAGAAGAATTATTTAATCCTAGGTACGTTCTCAGAATACTACAACAATAATTAGGTATGTTTATGTTTTATTGTCCATTCAAGTAGATTACGTCAGTTTCCATTCTATTCTGTGAAATGGTTTTAACATTCCTAACAGTTCTAAGTAAAAGACTCGTATTGCTTTATTATTTAACTTGTATAGTTTTTTTGTTGTCTTTTGAGAAACACTACTTATATTTTCTCACCCCTAGCTCGAACAACAAAATATTACATTTTTACGGACTGATCCAATCCTTCCCCTCCCCCAATCCCTCCCCCAATCCCTCCTCAATCCCTAAATCTCCAAATCCCTAATCCCTAAAAGGTCGGCAACGCATTTGTAACTACTCCGTTGCGAGTGTCCATGGGCGGCGCTGATTGCTTACCATCAGGTAATCCGTCTGCTCGTGTGCCGACCTATTACATAAAAAAAAACTGATCTTGCTTTGAAGTTCTCATCTTGTTGCATATTCGTTAAGAAATATCAAAAATATTATTGCTTCGGAATATGATCTGATGTGTGGCTATAAGTTCGAATACTAAGAAGAATCTTTAAGTTTTATGCTCCTCGAAGAATATATCAGCTTTACGTTCTTCCAAATTCTTCACAGAACGCAGTATTTAACACAGAATCTGTATTCAAAATTAAAACGTGACAAAACTGAGACAACATTGGTTGGAGTTTACTAGAACCAGAAAAGTAGGGACCAGATCCTCGTAAAATTCAACCGAACTTGGACAGTTTGAACCCAACAAAATTGGGAAACACTGAGAAAGCATACACGTATGAATGTCGAACCAATTTCTGTTTAAATCAAAATGTTGAAAGAAATTGATTCGATACCTATCTGTACAGGTTGATTATCGTGGTTGGGTGTGATTTATTGGAAAATGATTTTAGAATTTGTAGTATTTTAAAAGAAAAATGTAACGTCAAAACACAATGAGCATGTGAAGTGGAAAATGTGAAACTTCGAGAAACAGTTTGTATTACATAATATTATCATCTATATCTATACTATTATAAAGAGGTAAAATTTGTAAGTTCGTATGTTTTTTTTATTGATTAAAGATTGGCGCTTGACCGCTATCTCACCTGATGGAAAGCGACGATGCGGTCGACGATGGAGCGCGCTTACCTAGAAGTAACCTATTCACTCTTGACTTAAAGATACCCGGATTGTAACTATCAGGAAACACCGACTCCGGCAAGGAATTCCACTCCTTGGCTGTACGCATAATGAATGTTTGTAAGTTTGTATGTAGGGGGTAATCTTTGATAGCTACCGACAATGTTCCTGAGTGCTATAGGCTATAAAGCATCACGCTACGATCAAATGGAGCCTAGCAGCGGATAGAACCGCGCGAGACTTGCTAGTACATATGTAAAGAGAGAGAGTAAATATAACTGAATAGTAAATACGAGGTTATTTCGTAAACGCTACGTCATTTCCTCGATTTGAGCGCGGAATCCCAATAAACATGTTTTGCTCGTTTTGCGATACATTACGGACAATATCTTGAAATGAACACTATTTGTCTCGGTCCCCGGCGTCGCCCGCGTATACGGAGCGCCCACGTATCGCCCGCGTGACGCTCATTTATTCCCAATTTTATTTTGATGACCGCTATTATGATATTGTTTGTACGTGCGCCGTTCACCAAATGTTGTATTTAAGCGTCTTGAGACACAATCATAGCTTTCGCTGATTCTTTTTCCTATTTACGAAACGCATTTAAGTTGGATGCTTTGCCCTATTTTCATTAAATAAATCGATCTGTTCTGATTCATATGAAATGTTCAAGATGGTTTACTGTAACGCTTTTATTCGTGTTTTGTTCAATAAGTAGTTATCTCATACCATGAATAGATTCATAACATAATATCTGCCAAGTGATATGACTATGGACACACCACCTAGCTCGAATGACTTACGGGATGAGCCAGAATAGTGGTCTAGTGACAACTACGGACCGATTTGGACAGGCCTCCCGCCAGGCGGTACCATATCATCAGAGTTCCACAGAGCCAATGGATGCCAGAAGTACGCTGTCGTTCAACTTGGAGGACAAAGAGGAAAGCCTTAGTAGCGGTAGACATCTTCCGACTGAAAATAATAATGATAGCCATCTCCATTCATGAGATTGATTGATGCCATTTATCACAATACTCATTCGAATTTTGCATAACACGTAGCCTAGTGATAAACAAGAATTTTGCTTTTGCATATGAATCGATTTATTAACGACGAACGATTTATTTTCAAGCTATGACGAAAGGTCATTCAACTATTGTTTCACAAAACAAAACCCATTCAAAAAGTTACTTATCATTATTTTACGTCACGTTATGACTGACAAAAAATGAGAGTATACGTTTATTTTATCACCCTGTATCTTTATAATAGGGTTGTCATTTACTTGTGCAGTGTACGGGGGTAAAAGGAATATAGTTTCACAGGCCGACAGGCTGGAACAATTGAATTATGCTCAGCTATTAAATTCAACTCGCAACAACATACACCTTTATTCCTTGGGTAATCGGTCGTTAGTGGGATGTTGTACAATGGTAATGACGTATCTGCCATTGTATATTGATTGCTGCTCTTACAATTAGTGGTTGCCCGAACTTGATTGTAATTGTTATGTGTTGAAGTGAGCGGTTTGGGCTAATTTGTTATTGTTGAGTTACTGGGATATATTGTGGTTTATCGGAATAACAATATGACAACGTACAATTACTATCATAAATTAGGACGTGCAAAGGATAATAATTATACGTAATTAGGCCAATATTAATTTATTTAAAAAATATTAGCATAGAATCAAAGAGTAGCTGCAATCGAACATTTCATATAAAAACAACTTTATAAATCCACCTGAGAATAATTTAATAACAAGAACCTACATCAGCCCCTTTCTTCAAATTTAAATCAACTGACACACATGACACCAACTGCTCTTTTTGCTCGACGTTACCCATGTTTATAAAAAAACATAAATAAAATATCGTTATTATGTAAAACACTGAAATGTGAGCAAAAAACGTATCCGTTGAAGGACGTACTAATACGCTTTGATGAACAAAAATAAAAATATTTTTCTGGCTGCTCCTAACGAACGCCCGAAGTAGCTTTTAACATGAGCAGTACAATCATAAACAAAATCATTTACGGCTTACAAGCCACTTCGCTTTGTGTGGGAATATCTGAATTTTTCGCAGTGTTCACGGTAATATTTCCCTTTGTTTCATCGATGAACCGCGCTGCCACTTAGCGCCCTTTGTGCATTACAGTGTGTGCCTGAGGCGACCGACACTGGGGCCGGGCTCCGCCCCCGTGCTACATGATGTACGGCAAATTATTGCGTTTTTGTTACAACGATTTTCTCTCTTTTTCCAGTTAGTTATTAGCTTTCGTTGCACTGTCTTTTAGGTACATTTGTTGACCCTATTTTATCGTCTCTACTACTCTTTGCGTACTAAAGCTTTAACTGGCTACTTCTAAAGTGATTTACCAATTTTAAAAATTTTGGTAGCTTAACTACGTTAAAAATGTAACGCAAAGTGATTTAAATTACCCAAAAACATTTTAGAAATGTAAAATAGTACTCTTAATAGGTTTTATCAGCGGTTGTTGCTCATTGAGAACAAACAATCTATGATAAGATAAAGTTATTCTAATACATATTATAGGGCTTCCATATTTCCGAAACAATGTGACAGTTAACAACTAGTCGGGGATAAAATCCGTTGATGAAATGTTCACAAAATACCAAATAGACAGTTGACGTTCAGTTGAATTTGAATAAAAGCTACGTTACAATAATTGTTGGGAAAAATAGTAGTTTTTATTGCCAACATAACGAGTTTGTTGTACATATGACGCTCCTGTCGACACCTGTCGCCACTTGCGTCGATTTACGGTCGCTTTCACTTGGAAATTTATAAAATTCGCGTTTCTTTTATAACATGCTCATCTAAACATGGAAGCAGTGTCGTTTTATTCATGGCAATTTTAATATTCAATACCTGAAGCTATAGGCAAGTCACCAATATTTTTGGCAACTTGTATTGCTGAAACGTTGGTTGTTTTTTTGTGACGGGAAATCATTAGAGTTCTCAAAAGAGTGTCAGACCCTTACCTACTGACTAAAAACCTCTCCGACTCTAGGCCGAGGCCGCGGTGCCTCACGGCGCGTATCTCGCAATTCCGGCTGAACATCAGCCCTATTATAGGGCCCCGTCGGTCGTGGTCTATTGGCTCTTTGAGGCGTGCGCGACTCGCTGCGGCCCGGACGCTAGGGTCTGGTTCTGGTCGGTCGGCGAGTTATCCTTACTGGCCTTTAGTTATCAGTATACTGTGATACTATATAAAATGACTGCTTAAATAACAGGCTGCTAATTTTGTTGCTACACAGTGTGGAAAGCCATGCTTCGGCACGAATGGGTTGGTTCGACCGGAGTGTTACCACGGCCTCGTAGGATGCCTGCGTGAAGCAACACTTACATTGTGATTCGCCACGTGAATAAGTAGGATCTTGAACGTGTTTGGTGCTATTGCTACATGTTGCGCGATAGATGTCGCTTCCGGAATACAAATATTTGGGGATAGCGGATTGATTGGGGGAGGGGAAGAATGATTAGATCTCCTGGAATCTTATTCACACAGTAATATACTATATGTATTCATTGACTCGTTGCTATGAGTCTAAATGTTATAACAACGTTACTAATGGTGCACCCTGTATTTCAAAGTTAGGGTCCACTAAAACGATTAAAGTGAAAACATTTAGATGAAAATATTCACAAGTGTTCACGACATGGCGCGGACAGGAGTGAAAACTTTGCATAAAATGCATATTTTATTTTGCTATGCAAATAAATTATATTTTCTGCATCATCTCAGATACATTTTTAAATAGATCTGCATTAATTCGATAAGAAAAATAAATGTTATCACTATCACTACATCGTATACAACAAAGTCGCTTTATCTGTCCCTATTTATGCTTTTTTTGGGAGGGAAAAATCATCAGGTGACTTCTCCTGCCCAGAGTCGGGCAGGAGGGAGTGTCAGACTCTTACTGACTAAAAACCCCCTGTTCCTTCTCCTGTTCTGGGCAGAGGCCGCGGCTACTCATTGAGGTGACGGGCCGCGGTGAGGGGTCACAAAAAAAAGGTATACGGTGGAGCATACATACGGTAGCGGTATGCCCTGCCTGGGCTGAGCACCACCGTATCCTCAGGGAAGTGATCGGCGGCGGCGATCTCTCGCGCCCGGCCTTAGTCGAGGCCATGGTGCGGAGCGAGAGGAACTGTGATGCCGTCTCCTCCTTTTGTGAAGCAGTCATGCTCGCAAAGAGAGAGGCGGCCCGCGTGAGGGAGCAATCCTCCTCCTCACGCCCCAGCAGCCGCAATTGCTCGGCTAGGTATTACTGCTTAGTACTAAGTATTTAAGTTAAAAAGCGTCGTGTTGGCCCGGAGATTAAGGCACCCGCTTCTCATGCAAGGTTTTAACCGGTGTGGGTTCGAAAATTGGAGGCACCACTGATATACTGTGAAAGAAGACACTGTGGAAACCTGGGCTTATAATTTCTAATTATAAGTTTAAAATCGCCAATCCGTCTTGAGCAAGCGTGGTGAATAATTCTCAAACCAAACAAAAAAAAATCAAACAAAAATAAAGGTATTTGCATTTGACATAATTTGCCATCCAAACTTCTATTATATACCTAAAGCAGTAGGGCAGTGCGAACGCCCACAGAGAAAAAATAAATTCTGAAACTAATTTGACACAATAACGAAACATACACTTTAACTATGATACGCCCTGTTGCGACGTAAACTCTTACTTACATGAATGTACTACAATGGATATCGTACGTTCTAAATACTCCATAAGTACCAACAAAATACTCGTCGGAATTTTATTCCATAGATACGTGTTAAATAAATACTATAAGCTAACTTGAAATGGTCTCAATATTTTAATAAGTCTATTTTAAATAAATTGATGAGTACCTCACATTTAATTACAAACTAATCGACAACTCTCATTAGATAGTTATCCTCAGTCTCTCGTTGTGACGTACGAATTGGAATCAGTGAAGTTCCCGCATATATGATGAAGCTATATTAGTTGGCAACTAGCTCGCTTTACATGACTTTGTACAGTCATTATAATATCTCTGATATGCTGATTTTGTTACGAGGTTACCCCAACCCTAATGTATGATTGCGCACTTTGTAGGTGGTGTTGCGAATTTATTTTGTACCGCCATGCCATCACTATATTTACACCATATGTATTTAGTTTATACATTTCGTCTATTGAATACCAACTTTCACCGCTAGACCGATTCCAGTATTATGCTTCCGACCGTAGCTTCGCTATCGTGCTATATTAATAGTGTATTACCTATCTCCATACCTACCTTATTTAAACTAAATCGGACCAGAAGTTTTTGCGTGAAAGAATAACAAACGTACATCCATACATTCTTAGTAGGATTTGTATAAGTTAACTAGCTCTTACCCGCGGCGTCGCTCCCGGCATTTGAATACCTACCCTACACTACCTACTCTACCTACCCTACTCTACCTACCCTACTCTACCTACTCTACCTACACTACTCTACCTACCCTACTCTACCAACCCAACTCTACCTACCATACTCTACCTACCCTACTCTTCCTATCCTACTCTACCTAACCTACACTACCTACTCTATCCTATCCTATGTCCTTCTCCTGGCTCTAAACTACCTCCCTACCAATTTTCAGTTAAATCTGTTCAGCCGTTCTTGAGTTATAAGTGGAGTAACTAACACGACTTTCTTTTATATACTATATATAGATATTATCATGATGAAGGATCCTTTAAAAGACTTTCTTAGTAAAGTTGAGGGGAACGTCACGGTTTATCGGGCAGGTTATGGTTTGCCAGTTTGCTAAAATACAAATGACTAACACTAACGTAGTGTGACCATACGAATCAGGTACGGGTAGTTAGTTAAAAAAATAATAATAAAAAATAGAGTATCTAAACATATTATGTACACTTTTACAATATTGTGTACAATTGTACATAATGTGTATGTCTGTAAGTATAATAACATGCATTTTGCCCACAAAATTTACGT